CCACGTGTGATGTTGCATTGTTTCCTAATCACATCTCGCGTGTGTTTGTTGTGAAACGTACGTAGTTTGCGTGCAGCATGCTAGACAGTTGTCGCAGATCCATCGTGCAGTGTGATCACAGCAGCGACTGAATACTGGCCAAGATGGTCATCCCGCGACCCGAATATTTGGAAAATCGTGCAGTCTGAACTCGGCATTAGACTAAAGCAATAACTTTGTTTTGCTAAAATATGTATACACTTGTGTATACAACAGTCTGTTTTTGGGAAGTCCGACTAATGGTGTGGTAATATTTACTGTCATTCAGTGAATTTTCACAGTTGAATGAATTGGAGTCCATGTGATTTGTAAATTCCGCCTAAGTGTGGTGAAAATCTCCCAACAGAGATGTCGCAATGGGAACAAATTTGTTAAGTTGACCAACAGAAAGATGCTCTGTTTGAAAGGGACTTGAACTGCGCTTCATACACCACTTCACTATTGATAGCCAATGGGTCTTTTTTTGTTAGTAACAGTTCGCTATTTTGCACCTTGGCAGAACTAGATTGTGATTTGTTGCTTGTCCTTGTCCAGCATGTACTGTAAACATATTAATCAGACAACAGTTGGCTTTAACAGTCTTTGTACGTGGAAATGTATTTAATATTTCAAATATTCAACCAAGCATTTTGTCATACTGTATATCCTTTGACAGGTTACGCAAAAACTTGCTATAACTGTATATGTAATTGTACTTGTTGGAATTCTCATGTTGTTGTTTTTTGTTTTCCTCTTTGTACAGTCATTCAATAACCAATTTGTGGACCCTGGAAGTGTATCCCATCTTGATCCAAAACATGAAAACGTTCTGGACATACTTGTGAGTGCAGAATATTTGACCAACATGAAAAAAATAATTAACGAACAAGTTTTCATTTGAACTTTTTTTTTAAATAACAGAGTGACATCCAGATTGAAAATATGGATGACGCCAGATTTCTTAAAGAAAAGTTGTGCACAGTTTTGAAAGAGTTCCAAGCAAAAAAATCCGGAACCACTGGGGTAAGCAGAGTGTTCTCTTTTAAGAATCATTCTCATTTAATTTGGTTTAAATAATTATCTTTTTGTTGTCTTTCATCTAAAGGGCCCATCTTCACAATCTGTCAGTGATCAGAGAGGGGTAAAGCACACGGAGCAACGCAGAGATGCATATAAAGACCCAAGGGATGATCCAGATGGCATGTATTCAGAAAACAGGGGTTTCCAAGAGATTAGGCGATATGAAAACGATCCCAGAGGTTTCCAAGAATCCAGACAATATGGAGATGACCCTAGAGATATCCGAGAGGTCCGACAAAGTGAGGATGACCCCAGAGGTCATAGAGAGACCAGACGTTATGAAGATGATTACAAGGAGCCAAAACGATTTGATGGTTATCCCAGTGGTCTTCAAGAAGCAAGGCCGTACGCTGATGATCCCAGAGGATTTCAAAAGTCAAGGTTACAAGAGAATCCTAAAGGTCTTCCAGAGATGAGACATTATGATAATGATCCTAGAGAACAGGAACAATGTTATGAAGAATATTCACGAACTTCCAGAGAAGAAGCTCCAAGAAGATCTCAAGAGACAAGATATTATGAAGAGGATTACAGAGGCTTTGGAAATTTGGATTCTGAAAGACGACGTTCATATGAGCATTTTGAGGGCAGAGGCCCTGCAGGTGTTGAGAGAGGTTTTCAAGGTAAAAGAACACCCAGTTATCATAGGCCAAACCAGTCTTTCTGATGAGCAGATGATAGCATTACAGTATTTCAAAGTTTTTCTAAAAAATAATTTGAGCTAGTATATATTTTTTGCTGTTAGTGCCTTCATTCGTTATGATCTCCTGATTATCCTGTTTCAGAGAGCTTTCGCAAGCCTCCTGGTAACTTCCCACCAAGTTCTCTTCAAGAAGAAGGAAGGATGCATGTCGGGAGAGCACAGCACAGGTCCCATCGTAATGACAGTGAAGCTGGCGATGAACCATACGACCCGTTCCAGCCATCATCCTCACCACCTCCAGAAGCGAGCACCTCAACCAGTCTTGACAAGATTGCCTCAACTCTTCTGGAGCTTGTGGCTCGTAGATAGAGTTAAGCTGATGAGTTGGATACTTCATGATGTGATATGGTTTTAGCTCAACAATAGCCTACAGTGATTGATTTTCCAGTAAATGATGTTATACTGTTTTCTGCTATTTTTCAACTACTTTTCAGTTTGTCCTGTAAGGATTTGTAGCCTAGTTTATATTGTCTTTTTAGTTTGGTATGTCAATTGTGAAATGTTGATGTTTAGTTGAAATGGTTTGATTATTAGAAAGTTGTTGATTTAAAAAAAATAATAAACCGTTCAACCCACTCTTTTTGAATCTTTTTTTTAATCAGTAAATAAACATTAGTTGTATAAAATATAACAATGGTAGGCCTACTGGTACCATAATTTAAATTAAGGTCATTTTTGTGAATTATTTCTTCAGACATCACACATTTTTTGTTTGTTTTTGTGAACCGGACATACTAAACTCGAATAAGTTATATTGCTTTATAACAGGGATCGTTTTTACTGTTAACGTTGTTTGTAGTACAAGGGATTTCCCCCCATAAATATTGCGTGTAATATGTTGTGATGTGTACTACACATAAACACATTCTTTTCCGTTTCAAAATAATGAAATCGAAATGCTCTTTTTCTTTTGATTACACGGACACAATCAGGGGAGAAATGCTGGCAATTAAATGGACAGCAGCTATAATAGCTATATCCGAACCAAACGCATTCATCATGGGATATGCAGGCCAGCTCAACCTCTCGCTGACGCTGAACTGAGCATAACTGAGGAACCATAGAGTGAGGAACATTCACATTCAATGGCGCCAACGGCGAGTACGTCATAGCAAACGTATCACTTCTTCCGGTTTTAAAAAAAAGTTGTCAAATCGTCGGCCATCTTGGTTGCTGTAAGAGCCTGAAATAAATTAAATATTACGACGAACCGGACTACACTACGATTTCATCGCCTAAAGTGAGTATAAAAATTAAACACTTTGCTGCGTTACTGTTCGCTTGCTATCTACCGCTCAGTTTCGATAAAGCGGGTGTCGTTTTGAGCTCATGGTCCAATAAAAGTTTTCATCCAATGGACGATTGTTTTGGAGGATGAACATAGGCGCCATTTCCCTCCTCGCTCTCTGAAGCGCTTATTGGTGGCTAGTGGAAGGGAATGGAGGCGGTCAGGAAACTGTTGGACATTAGTCGCCATTTTGGCTCTCTAGTGTTAGTGACTTCTATTGGCTCGCTGGTATATTTTGAGCCTAAATGGTGGCAGTTTCTTAACTACCAGAACCCCTAGAAACCTTGATTGGTGGAATCTAGTCCGAGGTTTGATTGGTCTGAAGGACAGATCCAAACGTAGTCTTTATTGGTTAGACTGTCTTCACACCGCTTTACAAATATTTTAGGAAAACTCGCTCAAAGCCTTCGAAAACCATTATTATTTCACTTCTCCTAATTTGACGAGAGTCACAGTCGATGCGGCCTGCTAACGTAGCGAGCGATGTCTCCTACATTTATGCCGCTCTTTATAATCATTATCTGTCCATACAATCTTGTCGACTTGATATTTGGAGATGTAAATTATCCTCACGATAAAAAGAAATCTGTCACTATGGGTTTCATCCATAAGAATGTTATACACACACATAACGTTATACTGATTGTTTGTATGGTTTCGTTTAGCATGTCTCCCGGTAACGTTAGCCTGCAAATGCTTTGTCGACTTCGTTAACGGAATTCACAGCCGTTGTTGTGGCCATGTACTGCATATATTTCTCTTTATCAGATGTGGAATGAAATGCCATTTTCTGTGTAATGTTATATGATTCATTCGGGATGGAATTTATTCCGTGTATTTTCATTTAGTAGAATATCAATGTGCCTCTGGTGTCATCGTATAGTGCAGATATGAATACGCTTCAAATTGTTTTTCTACTCAATGAGAATAGACAAGTAAAGTGAAATACGAACGCATTAATTATGATATTTAGCAATGGCTGTAATTTAAGACGCAGCTGACATGTTTTTAATGTACCAGGTTAAATGGAGGTCAATTTCTGGCTGGCACATGAACTCACTATTTACATTACAAGTGACTCTCAGTGAGCCTTTGAAGCAAAATTATTCCCTATTGACCTTGATTTTACAACTGTTCCCATAATCTTTCAACACTGTTGCTGTAAATAATTTACCATGTATATGTAACAACAACAATGTATTGGAAGGATTGTGCTGCTGCAGTTTGAGTTGTTGCCTTGGCTTTCATCCATACAGTGTTAAGTTTTGCCCACATTCTGATTTTCATCTCTCACATAATTAAAAGCGGCAAGACTATGGTGAATTGGAGGTTGTGTAGGCCGGTTTGCATGTGGGGGCAAGACGTTTCTGGAAATAAAGAGAATCAAGTGATGCTGTACAATGCAAAAGAGCAGCAAGTTAAGGTGCGGCCACATTAGTAAAATTATTAAAAGTGTAGCGATGTGTGAAGCACAGCCTACAAAACTTTCAAACCAAGAAGCTTTGTGTCGGTCAAAGTGGTGAATTCATGTGACCAATATTTGAATTTGAATCCACAGAGGAGATCTTTTGCTGTGACATTCAATATCATGTGGATTCATATTGAAATGACTGAAAAACACAGCAAATGTGATCATTGTCCTGTTGTTCTTTAACATTAGTTTTGTTTTTAAAGAAATAACCAAAAGAAAAATGACCAAATAAGTTATTGTAATAGCATGATGGTTAAATTTTGGTCACGTGATGAGATTGTGATGTATGTTTACACAGACACATAACCATTTAACATGACCCTTCAGGTCAACTTTATATTTATTTATGACGTGACTAACGTCGAGTTTAGGTTGAATGTGCTGCACTGCATGCATGTCTCTGCACTCAAATGAGACTGCAAGTCTGACCTGAGTGACTTTCCACTTTAAATCATGCGGCTATAGCATGCGGCATCCTCTTTGAGATCGCATTGGGCCAATCATTGTCCGTGGGCTCATTTGCATCATCACACACCCAGCCACTGCGCTCCTCCGAGGGGCGGGCGTTAGAGACATTTAGTTTGACATTGTAAATAAGCAAGGGACAGTTGTTTGAGAAGTCAGTTGTTCAGTCCGGCTCCGTCCAGCCACAGTAGAGAAGACGATCTGCAGGGGACAGATTTTCCGAGGCTCACTAATCGAGGCGATCATCCGCTCTCCCCGCGTCCTTTATTCAACTTTCTGCGGCTTTTGTTTGGTGGTTTTTTTTCTCTCTCGTTCTTTTCCTTCCCTGACCCCTATCCTGCTGCTCAAGGTAACTTAAAACAGGAAGTTGAGTGTCTGTGAAAGGGGGCGGAGATGAGAGGGTCAGCAGGGAGGAGGGGAATGACAGATGTTTCGGCCAATAGTGGCAGAGACCGATTCAGGCTCATTTGAAGAATCCACCAAGGGGGTGGGGATCGTAGAGATAGGCGGGCTGAGAGTATCGTTTAGCAAGCTAGATTGATTACACTCGAGTGTTAAAGGGAAAGCAGTCAGGAGATTTTTGTTCCGACTTGTTTTACAGCTCTGCATTGCTCTCACACTTTTGTTTCTTTTCATCCTTCTCTTTTTTTCCACCTCTCCCTCACTTTCTCGCCTGTTTTTCCGGTCACTTGCAGAGCCAGGGGTCAGCTGAAAGACAAACAGTAGGGTTGCCAGGCAGAGGCCAACTCCAGGCTCCAGGCGGCTTCACGGGACTCGGACAGGGGAGGAATGGGAGGGGGTTGTGTGTTTAGGAAAGGGGGGAGGGGGGTGGCTGAAGAAGATGGGCTAGTTGAAGGGGGAGGGTTCGGAACGGGGTGGGCGGGGGGGCGTTAGGTGATCGCGTTCCCCTCAGCTCAGGGCTTTGAACACAGCGGTGGATCGCCTATCCCACACAGCCTTTTGTCTCCTCTTGGGACAGAGCCTGTGGAATAAAGACACTTATGGAGACTTTTGAGATGTCCTCCTCCGTCACAGCATATGAAGGGCATAGGGTAAGTATGACTTGCGACTGCATTCAGACTGTAAAGCTCTCTACCTCACTCTCTCTCTCTCTCTCGCTGCAGTAATGGGATGCTTCCTCTGTCCTCCGCTGCGCTTTTCTCCTCCTCCTTTCGTCCTCTACTTTTCCCCTTGCTTGAAATCTGAGTGTACTACTTTGTGTTTTCTCTCCTGTTCAAGTCCTTAACCTGATTACTAATGTTTGACATGATGTAAACAATAACTAGCTGGTAATTTCATTGGTTCTGCATACGTAATTTTAACTTTCCAGCGTTGAACTGTACGCCTTACTTTTTGATCGCAGCTGACCTCTAAGTTCATCTTGTTCAGGTTTACTTCAGACTTCTTGAAGGTCCTGTGCTTTCGAGTATCTCCCCTACATCTGTGATGCTTAGAGATAGAGATGATGTTCATGGCTGCATAGGACCGCTAGTCCTGGGTCACCTTTCAAGGCCCAGTTTCGTGGCTTGTTTACACTCCTATGACAGTGAGAAAGAGCAGAAGCCAGTCTTGATGTGGTCTCTAGTACGTGACCAGCATGGATTGGGGTTTATGTGGAGACTTTTCGCCCCCTTAGTTCATAATGTACAGATGGTTGTCCTCACATGATACCTTGTTACAGAATTCAGTCGGATTAAAGTCTCTTTCCCGCGTGTGTACTAGAAAGTTTCCATAAGTGATGGTATTATGTTCCTTTTGGAGAAAGGAGTTACTAAAAATAACTCTAGGTAGAGCCTTGACTGCTGTGTCACTGCACGATCTGTTCGGTTAAGATTTGATCATTTTAGCTCCTTACTGCACCAGACTGCATGAATGTTCAAGGGTAAAATGTAACCCCTGACTAACGTTTTTGCACATTTCCTCTCGTTCCCGGAGCTTTGCACTTTAGGTTGTTTTGAAATGTCAGCGCAGAACCTTTAAAGTTTACAGTTGGGTTTCTGGTGCTGGTCGACGCACCTTGCCGTTGCGGGCCCATCGGCGAATGAAGGTCACAGGAATGTGAGAGCGGCTCCCGCATTCGATATGTCAGCAGAGAGAGTGTGAGACCAAGAGGACAGTGCATCCCTCAGGGGCGCACAGACAAGAGGGGGCCATTCACCATCACGCTTCTCTAGGGACGCCATCATTGCACACACTAGGGTCGCCAAGTTGCTGCAGTGAAAGTTGAAAAACCAGTCTCCGTTCTCTTTCTCTCTGTGCTATAGAATATCCCTCACTCTTTCCCTCCCCCTATACTGTGTTTTTTTCCCCCCTTTTTGCTTACTGCCAAATGACCTTGAAAGTTCAGGGACGGCTTCCTGGAGTTGACGAAAGGCTGAACCAAGGGCAACTTTGGAATGATTGATCCGTGAGATCAGAGTTGCGTTATTGTCCAGCCCCTATGTTTTTTGCTCTGAACAAGTACAGCTATTTGTCGGTTAATTTGTAATTTATTGCTGGGTGCCTGGGTGCATTTTGTTGTGTCCCGAGTCGATGATTAACCAGTAACCGCAGCAGGCTTTGTGTTTTTTATTTTTTATATATATATAAACCTTTAGAAATGTGACCTTTCTGTATGACAGAATGATCATAGAAAACATATTGGCTGTGAGCTGTAATTTTAGTTAATGAGGCTGGTTTAGGTTCAGGGACTATACAAGTAATGCATAGTAAAAAGAGTTGTCAGTAAGTACATACATTTACATGTTATATATAGGTTTTGTTTTGTTTTTTGCGCATAGTTGAGCAAAGCCTATTCATAAACGTAACACAAGGAGTAAGGCATTTTAAACAATGCTGTCAATACATGTGCAGTTATAAGCAGGGGTTTTACATAGCTGTGTCTACAATAGTTTAATGTTCATTTAAAGGTGGAATACCTAAGATTTTTGCATTAAAATATCCCCAAATTACAAGGCCAGTGTTCTATATTTAGTTAAGATGATAACTTACAATATTCCAAATGTTTCAAACAATGTTTAAATCGAACATCAGTAAATCACGTCATATCCGCATTACTGCTTGTAGTCCTGGACAAATGCGGAAGTTGTAGTTGTGCGTTAGTTTATCAAGCAACAAACGTCAGCTTGTTTCACGCATTTGTTATGGAATGGAGCACAATTATTCTTTAGCGATTGCACCTGGTTCTGTCGACAAAGACAAGTCTCATAAACGCAAACGTCAACGAACGGGTCAACCAAACAACCCAAGAAGAATTTGGGACAAGAGAAATAAAACCAGCTCAACATCGGTGTGGCATTTCCTAAATGGAGAGAACTTTATGAAAAACTAACTAGAAAGAGACGCCGATCTTGCATGTGTTTTACTTGACAGGTGAGTAGCACCATGTTTTGTATTCAAATTTCATCTCAGTAAACGATGCAAAACAATTAGTATTATTGTTAGAATGTCTTGTTGTATATGTGAAAAATCGTAAGGTCATATTCACCGCGAATACTTCTCGGATTGTGAACTGTTGGCTGTATCTTAGAAAACGACGTTTATCTGAAAAGTGTTTCAACCGTCCCGGCTGTGCCCTAACATCTGTGATAACTAATTTACTTTTAAACCTTACTTTTCTTGCGGTTATTTCAGGTTAATGAAAAACACAGCAGTTAAGCATTAAACGCAACAGTTATAGAAATCGAACTTTTCCTCATCCATGACAACTAATTTTCGATTCCCGTCTGACTGATTTATCCACGGTGGAGTTGAAAACAACAGTTCCCATCATTCTGTGTTTCTCCACGGCGTCATCAAGCAAAGCCGTTGTTGTTGTTTTGAATGTAGTGCCATCTAGCGGCATAAAATCTTAGGTATTGTAGCTTTAAATGTATTTAAAAGCTCTGAACTGTCTTTCTAACACGTATTTCTCTTTCCATTATTTTCTTCACCTCTTCATGAGGGTTTTATGTTATTATTTTTTTGCCCTCTGGAATGCTCCGATATCAGATAACAAGATTGTATTTCTTCTATGTGCATGCATTGTTTGGTATGCATTTATTTTTGGTTTTCTTAAACCATCTAGGGGAGGCATGCTTGAGATGAGGAATGTGAGCAAAAAATCAGATGAAAAATTCTTCTGTTCTAGGGTTAAGTTTGATTTGGGCTTGTCAAACAAAAAAGCAGACTTTGAAATAAAGTCTACTGTTTTGTAGCTTTTTAAGTACTGGCTGTTAAAATTAGTCTAACTCTAGAGGTTAGCTTCAATGTCTGAAGTTATCTTAGATCTCAAGTCAACACAGCGATTGGCTTCCACAACCCCGGTATTGTCTTCTCCGCATAGCTGATCTGAATCTTTCCAGCACGATGAAGAGCTTGTTCTACATTTTTATCTGCCGGTTAAGATGCATCCCAAACTATAGTATAAAAGGTAATTGTTCTGCCAGTGGTAACTGTGAAGTTATTCTGTTTGTCACTGCACTTTCTTCTTCTTGGAGGCCTCTGGCCACACTTTCTCCAACCTTTAGAAATCTGCCGCACAACCAGCTTAACTCATCCGCTCATCAAGGGGTTTATTTGTGAAATCTCAAGTCTTCGAGAACCGCTCAACCTTGATCACTTTGAAATGTTTGAGCGTTCCTTTACTGCAGTCCTTTTGCACGACGAAAGCCAGGCTGGCAGTGATGTTCTTGCTGATTCAGCCTCTGTTAGTGGCATTGACTTTCTGAGACACAAAGCACCAGCGGTCATTGCCGTCGAGGCAACCGAACAGATCAGGAGAAATCCAACACCACCGCTGCGTTCTGACTTGCTGAAGGACGATCGTGACTAAGAGTTGCCTGTGCACTGAGCTTAACCTGGCTTTTTGTTTTCGCCCACAAGTCTGAAGTTAGAATGAATTCTATTGGGATGTAGTTCCATAAGGTTGCAGTTGGGTCAATGCCATGAAACTACATTATTTTTTTACTTATTTATTTTATTTGTATCTTTAATACATTTGAGAATTCATTAAAAACAATCCATATAGCCTATACAACTATCTATGATTAGCATGTTTTTAATTTCTGAATGAAAATTGTCAAAAATGTCAGGGTGATACAAGTAATTTAAAAAAAACTCTACAAATTAAAACCTTAGTAGGTTTAACAATTGATTCACTGTATTCAGCTTTTTTAATATTTTAAAACCTGAAAGGTCATAACACTTAAACAAAATCTGTTTTTTTTTTTTAGTGGGCAGTTAGTTGTCATTCACCCAAGTCAATGCCAGTAGCCCCTTTTTTACTATTATTTTGCTTGAACGCAATACAAAACATACTAACTTCAAAAGAACAAGCTTTCTACCCACAATGCTAAGTCAGAGGTTTCGCTCTTCCCATCTCAGGTTGTGTGTCTCTATCTGGTTAAAAGAGTCAAAAATAGCTCCCACTCAAGCAGCTGGTCGAGGCGAGCTTTGATTTAACCTATTTATGTCTCCTTTAATGGAGTGTTATCTCATTTAATTTGCCTCACAATTTCCCTGGTCTGTGACAGTAATTGCTGCTGTTATCGCCTGTTAATTAGCCAGCTAGTTTTCTTAATGGTCTTACTTGAAGTTAAATTATCATTTGTTATCAGTCCGCCGCTGGAACATCAACTCTCGCAGATGTACAGCAGAAGACCATCACAAGATCGACACCTGACCTGATTGCTTCCCAGCCGCTGGTGATTTTTCAAGTTATATGTATACTTAAAAGGAAAGTTCACTTTGAAATTTATTTTTGATATGTTTTAGCTTACCTCAACTCAAGGGCATCCAAGATGTAGGTGTCTTTGTTTCCGCAGTAGTTTCAATTTTGATATTTTTCGGTCAAACCGTTCTTGTCTGTCAGTCATGTAATGGAGGTTTAGGGGGTCCACCTCAAAGAGCATGCACAGAGAAGTCCAAATTAAACACGATTTAATGACTCGTAAATGTACACATTGATGGCCTAAGACACGAAACGAGCGGTTTGTGTGAGAAAACGAACAGTATTTATATAGTTTTTACCTTGTGTAAACACAGCCATGTCCATGAAGGCACGGGTGCTTCGGTCTGCACATGCGCCGGAAGTGATCTCTTGCGGGTCTACGTCACTCATTGTTTACACACAGATTTCGGAAGTTTTACCTTTTCACTGTGAAGATCTAAACATATTTAGATGTATCGAAATCGTCTTCCATTGCGATTTCCTGTCTCTTCACAGTGTAAGGTAAAACTTCCGAAATGCGCAGACCAAAGCGCCCGTGCCTTCAGATCAGTTGGACATGACTGTGGTTACACGAGGTAAAAACGATATAAATACTGTTCGTTCTCACACAAACAGCTCGTTTCGTGTCTTAGGCCATCACTGTGTACTTACATTTACGAGTCATTAAATCGTGTTTAATTTGGACTTCTCTGTGCATGCTCTTTGAGATGGACCCCCTAAACCTCCATTACATGACTGACAGACAAGAACGGTTTGACCGAAAAATATAAAAATTGAAAATACTGTGGAAACAAAGACACATGCATCTTGGATGCTCTTGAGGTAAAACATACCAAAAATTACATTCAAAGTAAACTATCCCTTTAATAAATTTGATTGACAGTTGATGGCATCAGTCAAGCCTGAAATGAGTCTGGAGCTTATTGACAGTGGAGCCACATGACTCATTGATTTGTATTGTGCTTGTCTAATGCCACTGATCATGATTGTTTTGAAGGCAACTAAAGGCTGTGACACCAAACATGATTTCTTTTTTGTGATCACATGGTGATTATAAACATCGTAATGCTTAGATATACATAAGAGGAAGAAGAGATAAAAGCAGGTCGACGCTTATCGCCAGTGATCACGCACGTTTCACTGTGTTGCTCCTCCGTTTGACCTACATAGTGAGGCTGCTCAGCAGTCCGACTGCTCCCCCTCCATTAAGCCCTTGGCAGTTTGTCTTGTTATTGGATTATGGCTGAACTGCACAAGTCCAAGTACTTTTTTACTGCCTCGCTCCTGCTCCTGTGGCACCCCACCCTGCTATTTCAGGCCCTGTGTTTATTCCAGAGAAAGAGAGAGATCCTTTGTAGCGTCCGTGGCAGCGCAAGCTCAGGCAGGCTGCCTGCAGAATTCCTCACATGACATAGTAACCTGCCAGCTTTGCTCCTCTTGCATTTTTGGTTTGTGTTTGGATTGTCTCCGTTGCGTCAGTGCCGAGCAGTTCTGTCCGATAGACACATTTGGTCCGGCTCCAAAGCTATTTGGGTCTCCAGATGTGCACTCCAGGCTTCAGGTCACTGGCATGGAGGAGGACTTTGTTCTCCAGGTTTTTCACATATGGATTCCTGGCTTAGTTTACACACGCCTGAGTTGACCAATCGCCCCATCACCAGGCGTTTTACTGTAGTGACGCACGGGCTATCACACAAAATTATTCATTCTTCTTCAACTCCAACTAAACCGTGTGTAATGTGGTTTATTATCTCAAAGCTCAAAAAGATTACGTCAATTATGAGGCTTGTATGTGTGAACATGAACCCTGACTTTTCTTGTTTCTCTCCCTTTTTCTCTCCTAGCAGATCTGGAGATGTCGGCAGACTCATTTGGAGCAGGCGGCAGCGATGCCCAGCAGAGCCTACAGACCTTTTGGCCCAGAGTGATGGAAGAGATCAGGAATCTTACTGTGGTATGGGTTTCTCCATTTTATTCTCTCGTGGATACAGCATAAACACTGCTTTTTGCAACAACAAAAAAGTCTTCATTGGAAAATGACAAGTTAGCCAACTATGTAGTATCTCGCCAAGAGTCTACTTCTGTTTATTAATAGTAATTATTAATGTTATTTCGAGTTCTCCTCTAACGCACTCTCGCACTGTTTCAGAAGGATTTCCGTGTGCAAGAGCTTCCTCTTGCTCGCATCAAGAAAATTATGAAACTGGATGAGGATGTGAAGGTAAGAGCAGGCGAGCTGAATCAACACTAAGCTAAGTCTAAGCTGATGTCAGCGCGCTTCCTGTCTTTCATTCTTGAGAAAGCAGCAGCCCAGCGTTTGTCGGCTGTACATTAAGTGGCCAGTCAGTAATTAGTGGAGTTAGCTTTACTATTACTCCGAATTAGGGTTTGAGGTTTGTTGTTCAAATTCTTAGCCATAAGTATTGTACTCTTTGTTTTACAGACATGAATGATACATCAAATCATGTAGCTTGAGGAGAGGTTTATTGTGTCTTAATTAGTGGTTACACAAACTAGTCGACTTTAATCCTTTAAAGGAGTGGTTCACTTTTAAAAAAACTTTTGCTGATAATTTACTCACCCCCATGTCATCCAAGATGTCCATGTCTTTCTTTCTTCAGTCGAAAAGAAATTAAGGTTTTTGATGAAAACATTCCAGGATTTTCTCCATATAATGGACTTCAATGGGAACCAAACGGTTCAATGTCCAAATAAACGACTCCAGACGATGAATAAGGGTCTTATCTAGTCATGACTCGAAAAAAGATTAAGATTTGTTAATTTTGATGAACGAGTTTGAACAGGAGAGTCACGAACGCTCATCACAGAACAGAGCAAGGCGAGCATTTTTATTTATTTTTGAAATGACTGATGGTTTCTCTAGATAAGACCCTTATTCATTGTCTGGTGTCGTTTAAAGCCCTTTGAAGCTTCAATGAAACTCTCATTTGGACCTTGAACCATTTGGTTCCCATTAAAGTCCATTATATGGAGAAAATCCTGGAATGTTTTCATCAAAAATTTTAATTTCTTTTCGACTGAAGAAAGAAACACATGGACATCTTGGATGACATCCGGGTGAGTAAATTATCAGCAAAAGTTTTTTTAAAAGTGAACTACTCCTTTAAGTTTGATGTAGACTAGTCACTGGTCATGGCCTATAGAGGACACAACAGAATAAGAAATCTTTTACTCTCCATTTCCAAACAGTTAAAGTGACAAATAATGCATACTCTGACAGTGCTCCACATGAAATGTTTAATTATAGCATCTGGATGCTCAAAATTAGGTGAGTTTTAAACATCTTATTGTACACAAGTTAATCACGTTCTAAACTATTGCGAGCTGCATTGTAATGCACACACAGCTCACACATCACGTGCGCACAGAATAATTCTGTAGCGCTTAAATGTATTGTCAACACACTGTTCAGTGATTTTATCAGGAAAATAGCTTAGAAACTGAAAGGTTCTTGCAAATATATTTCTTAGTAACTAAAACCCGTAACTTCATTGTTAGTAGAGAGACGCTGCCTGGAAAAATTAATTCGCACGCAATCGCTCTCTCACTAATGCATTCCTATAAATGTAATCCTTACGGTGCTACTTTATCTCTGTCTGATTTAGAACAAGCAGAAATCTGTGAAATATAAAGACCCAAAGACAAAAGAACTTAAAAAATAAGCTGCCATGTAGGATCCATATAGCCTTGTGTGCAGCCATATCTGTGAACAAGAAAACCTGCAGTCGCGTATCAGCTCGAGAACGATTCAGGCTTAGTTGTTCATAAATTATGTCAGCAACTAGTCGATGTCAACTCGACTTTCATAACATAAATGTCGACTTTAAAAAAATCTGAAGTCTTTCAACCCCTAGTCTTAAGCGATCTGACTTGCCTACCAAAATAAGACAGCCAAAAAAAAAATTCCCAGAGACTTTGATGGAGTTGTCCATTTCTAGGAACCCTTTGGGGTAGTTATAGAAATAAATACGAAATAGTTTTGGAGGCTCGTATTCATTGACAAACAGTTCCAGTTTTGGGTGAATCACGACTTTAGGACCTTTAATCCTCTGTTTAATCCACCTAGAATGACCCAGCAGTCGCCTAGAAACCATCAGAAGACACTAGCAACCATATATCAATATTCTAGCGACTTTTTAACAATGCTCTGGCAAACTCCCCCATTTCACCCTAGCAAAGATGGGTTACAAGTTTGGGTTTATTATTTGATTTTTGAGGCTTCAAATCAAAATTGAATATTTTTGTGGTCTTCTCCAAAAGCAAAGTTAATATTTTCAGTGGTTTCGGCTGCAGTGAGGCCCATTTTGAACTACTACAAAAATAATAATCTCCTCTTTTCAGAGCTCTTCATTGTAGAAGAGAAATTATTTGATCCAGCTGAGTCATCTGGCCATTTACTGTGAATCAGCCTGATATTGGGTATCGTGTAAACACTGAAAAGGAGTTTTCCAAGAACTAAAAAGAAAGAACAACCTCAGCTCCATGTATCACCAATTTTTACTTTCCTTGCCAGATGCTTTAACAAAGCAATATGCAAATAAACAAACTTTCAAGTACATATGATAATTGCATGGCGTCAGTACCGTCGAAAGAGCGAGGTATGTTGTGATGAGCCAAGTGGCTGTAAGACACACTCATGCCCTTTTAGTCATAAAGGTTGGTTTGTTTGCTTAATAGTTTAACCCTCAATATTTGCAATTAGCTGGTTTAACCTTAAAGACGACAGACATCTGTTTCTTTCTCAGTTGTTCAGTACAGAGATATTGTGAGTGATGTTGGTGAGGCCACAGGACATGATCTTTCCACATAGCTTTAGCCGCGTGGGAAGCAGGCATCAGGTCAGGGTGATGTCCAGATGCTTAAAATAACCTGCAGCTTACAGTGGGAAGAAAGGAAAGCCAAGGCAATTAAGAGCTCAGGAGCAGTGACATGGACCAGACCCTGGGTCAAGTCTTGACATAGCCTCTGTGTGTCCACCTGTCTGAGGCCAGGCCGAAACATGGAGGACAGGATTGTATGTGTCGTTCTTTTAACCTCTACTGATTTGCTTTGGTAACCTTTCGTAGATGATCAGTGCTGAGGCACCGGTGCTGTTTGCCAAAGCGGCACAGATCTTCATCACAGAGCTCACTCTCAGAGCCTGGATCCACACTGAGGACAACAAACGGCGTACACTGCAGGTCAGTCATGACGGATGAGATAAAGCAGTCTCCTCTAAGACACAAATAATCTTTTTTTCTTTTTCTTTTTGGGTGTGGGTGGGATCATGAAATGACCCTGAGCTTGCTTCGAACGGGTCACCTCTGCTAAACTGTCACTCTGTATCTCAGAGCACTCTCACTAACCCATGTTTCCAATATAGTAGTTCAATTTCAATTGGAGGACCTATAATGCTTTCTTAGCTTCCTTTAGTGTGTAAGTTTGCTGATTTTGTGATTTGGAGTTTCTGAACTCCCTGAAACTCACAAACAAGGCCTGATTGAGTTGCATTAGTTGTGTGTTGTCATATCCAAGAGACGCTGTTTTCTCCACCCTGTATTAAGTAGGTTATGGTAAGGGATGTGACATTTATGAAACGTGCTCAAAGAGGTTGACCAATCACAACACACTGATTCTGCCAACCAGAGCATCTTGGCTTTTCAGAAGAAAAGGGCTTCATAGAGACAGGAACTAAACAGAGCGTTACTTACACACTGGGAAGAGAGGAGCAGTAACAAAGTCAAAAATGTGAAAAATAATGTTTTTTTTTTTTAGCAATCAAGCATGAAAAACAAAATTAAGACTTCGTAAAAGGGCATAATAGGTCCTCTTTAAGACTAGCTCTGGTTATTTACTGATCCCACCCACCATTTCCCCCTTTTGTTTCCTGTCTCCTTCACCATCACGGTCCAAAAAATTAATCTGATGGTAAAGAGTCAGAATCACTTTATGGATGTTTTCTTTAAATTGAGTTGAATGTCAGTACTTGCAGTCATTAGAATGCATAAATAAATATATGAAGTGTAATGTTAGGGTGTACTCACATTTACTGTTGTTCATTGACATTGACATTTATTCATCTAGCTGATGCTTTTATCCAAAGTGACTTACAATTGCTATATATGTCAAAGGTCACACGCCTCTGGAGCAACTAGGGGTTAAGTGTCTTGCTCAGGGACACATTGGTGTCTCACAGTGGATTCGAACCCGGGTCTCTCACACCAAAGGCACGTGTCTTATCCACTGTGCCATCACCACCCCATGTTTAATAGTGATCTGTGCCATCATGTGAAGACAAAACATATCCCCACTCAGATTTGACTTGTTCTAGTTGGTCACGCAAATTCTCTGAAAGCTGCTTGGTGTGGAAGTGAGTTCTGTTTGAGCTGAGCTTTATACATCGCGGAAATTTCGCTAATGCGATCGCACCTATAGCCAGCTGCTAGTATTTTCTTCGCGTAAATAAGTCCAAACCATTACGGCAAAGGAAAAAAAAAAGTTCCTCCTAATGCTGCATGTGCTGGAGCTGTGACACAGCTTGTCCGTTTATGGGAAGAGCCCCCCACACGAGGACCCCAGGGCTTATCTCTGTTCATCTGTAGTGAGTCTAAAAGTACATCTCCCATGACCCACTTACTTTTTATTAACTCATTTTGCCTTCCTTGGCTTTTAAACAGTGTCCTGTTGAACCCTTGGTTGAGTTGATGATGATGATAATAATAGTAATAATAACATATATAAACCCAATTAAGTTCACATGTGAAATCAACAGATTCAAGTTAGCTATTAAGCAGAATACAGGAAGTGAATGTGAATGGAATAATTCCATGGAAACAATTGAATAAAGTTAATAGTCTGCAATATAGCAAACCGCGTCAACATGGCCTTTTTCCGACATGGTGTTCGGCAACAGGTTTTGTCACTGAACAAAGCTGTAATGACATTAGAGCGTCTCTTTAATATGCAGATTGTATTAGCACTCCGCCTGTGAGCTTGCAGCTGGCCCACAGTTCCATTGTGAAGGCATCACGCCAATCTGTGTCGCCACGACAACATTCATCAATGGAACAACTGCATGGATGTGACCCTTCACCACCAGATATTAATCATGGGGCTAAAAATAGCTGCTGATCTGGGGGGTGACAATGGGTGGTCTTTGCAGCCAATATCCTGTGGAAAATACCGCTAGTAGGCAGTTTGTGGGGTGAGATGGTGTCACTGTTCACAAGAACGATTGATGAAGCCAGTCTGTCATATGTTATATTCAAATCACTGAGCGTCATCCTTTTTGAGATTGCCTCCTTTCCTGTGAGCATTTGTCACATGTGGTTTTAGTCTTTCGTTTTGACTCTGTGGTCTTATTTTCTTTTCCAGAGGAATGACATCGCCATGGCCATCACTAAGTTTGACCAGTTTGACTTCCTCATTGATATCGTTCCCCGGGATGACCTCAAGCCTCCAAAACGACAGGTGTGGAAAAGAGAGGAGCTTCAAGCTGTCAAAATAGACTGGTGTCTACAATGTTTTTTTTTTTCTATTCTTCGGCGTCTATGAAGAGAAGAGTGTGCTGTTGTGTTTGGCAGCCTGGGGGCGCTGTAAACATCCTTGACTGGAAGCTGGGTGTAGGGTTTGTGAAGGCTTTCAGTCGGATGTTTGCAGCGCTCTGCTTCCCCTATCTCTGCACGACCAGATGTCAAGTTATTCATTTTATTTTATGAATGTGGCCATAGCGACATGTGTCTGACTTAAACAACCATGTGTGGTTATGTGCCTGGCAGTAGAACAAGGATTGACAGCGTGAGAAATTCATCTTTTTGCCCACCAGTCACCCAGAAGCTTTACCAACTACTCTTGTTAGTTGAAATAACTCACTACATGAAATTTAGGTAGTACATTAGTATTCTCTTTAAAAGAAATTTTACTTTTTATTGACAATGTAGATAATTTGCCAGTCACACCCTAAGCATATCCCTAAAATGTATTCCTTCTAGTTAAAGCTAGTTTATAAATATAAACTAATACTTTGTTTGCGTGTATTGTATATATTTGTATTTATTCATATTTATAATACATGTGTGTAACTCTGAACATCATGGAAGTACACTGGTCAAAATGTGTTCGATTCCTTGGTCTTTATAAACACAACTTTTGTTTAGAAAGTCCTACAAAACAGAATCACGTACGTAACTCTAAATATCACAGTGAGAAGAAACACCTGATAAAGAAGGAAGGAATTGAACCAATATATCCAATGATCCAAGCCCTCCTAGCTCAGCTAAACCAGTCTTTGTTCGACCTGAGGGGCCATAAAGGTCCTGCTGTATTTGTGTGACTGTGTGTGTGTGACCAGGTGTGTAAACATCCTACACTCTCAGCTGTGACATCACCAAGCTGGGAGAGGGATGTTTACTCTCTTTGTCACAAATAGATCTTCAGGAATACATGGGGAGAAAATATAAAGATAGTTAGTGCAAATGTTTGAGCGATCCCACTGTTTGTGTGTAGAATAACACAGCTGATAACCTGCCATTATGCTGCGGTTGAGTGTGGGAGTTCATGCCTCAGACTGCAGCTAAAGGTCTCGTTTCTGTCCAGCTAGAAGATTGCATTACCCGCTCTTGCTTTGCCTATAAGTTATTTATCCTTCTCATGCCTCTAGTGTTACAGAGCTAAAATAATTTATGGAGATGTAACCTGCAGATAGGCCTTATGAACTCTTCATTTTCATGTTTTGTGTTTATGGGATTGTGAATGTTTTCTTGCAATTACGACAATCCTGCTGAAGTGTTCTGCAACGTTAGATGTGAATTTCTCTATAAACGTGCCTGTGTGTGTAGGAGGAAGTGCGTCAGTCTGTCGCCCCGACTGAGCCGGTCCAGTATTACTTCACTCTGGCGCAGCAGCCCAGCGCAGTGCAGGTCCAAGGTCAGCAGCAAGGCCAGCAGGTGTCCGCTCCCACCGCCACCACACTACAGCCCGGGCAGATTATCATCGCTCAACCCCAGCAGGGCCAGGTAATCCCCGCTCACTTTCCACAAACCCGAGGACGTAGTGCGTATATGGATTCTAGCGTCAAACAATGAGCTTTGAGACTCTTAAATACAACAATGTACTGTATATAACAACTATAAAATATAACAACTGTAATAGTGTCCACACCAATAGACGACAACGTTCTGTAGTTTAAGTATGTGTGCATTTATGTAGTCTGCTACTTTAGAAGATTTGTAGAGATTTAGGAAACATGCCAAGTTTAAATACTTGTTTCTCTGAAAAACAGCACTACAGCCAGTTGTTCTACTTTAATGTGTATTCCGGGTTTTGTTTATGTTTCAGTCGATGTGATCCTAAAAGCCCACTGCCAATTTACTCAATAGTATTTCGGCACCTCGGGTTTGTCAGTTTGGCAGAAAACACTGATTATTTCAGCCATGGAAGCCAACAAATAAACTGGGTCAGAGATCATAGATTTTACCTGACCTAAAAAAGGGCCTAAGCAATAAAAACATTGCAAATGTATTCATTAGCTGATCAACTTAAAGTGTAAGACTCGTCTCTTTGTTAATCACAATGTTAATTGTGCTCGTTCCTGTTGTGTGTCCTCAATCTGGCAAACTGTGTATGTGTCGAGTCTGAGGAGGAGGATGCGGAGGAAACGACTCCATTTTGAATTTGGATGGCAGTACCAATTTAGATCGCTAGCTGTCAATATTACATATTTAACCTTTAAACATGAGCTCTTTAAACTTGATAAACAATATTGTGTTTCTCTGCCATTATTGTTATGTTTGTGTTCACTTATTCTCATAGAAATAGAGCAATTTATACAACTTTATAGTTAGTGTCTTTGGTGTGAACGGGCCTTAAGGGATAGTTCACCCAAAAATTTTGTCATCATTTACTCACCCTCAAGTTGTTCTAAATCAGGATTCATTTCTGTGTTGATTAAAGAATGTTGGTAACCAAACCAGTTTTTGGTCCCCATTGACTTCCATAGTATTCTTATTCTATACTATAGAAGTGAATGGGGACCAGCAACTGTTTGGTTACCAACATTCTTCAAACTATCTTCCTGTAAGTTCAACAGAAGAAAGAACTTCAAACAAACAGGTTTTTGAACAACTTAAGGGGGTATAACGACAATTTCCTTTTTGGGGTGAACTATAAGTTTAAGGCAAAAAACAACAACAAAAAAACAGTATGTGAAAAGAATAGTAACTATTCTTAATAGTGCGGCCCATGAGGCCACAGTAGATTATTTGTGATGCTGGTAGATCACATGACAATGACAACATGGTGAATATAGTATGTTCGCTTTACATTCATAACATAGAACATACCATTTTAGTGATTGCAAAGTAATTATACTAAATATAGGCTATTATACTAAAGCCTTTTGACTATTTAAAAGAAACGGACTACTCTTTCACTATTCCCCACCCAAACTTCCTGTTTCAAAAGGAAATATTTCAACGGAGGAAAGAGAACTGGTATCTAGAGGCTTGGAGAACTTTGTTTGCCCTTGTAATTACCCTAGTGTATATTATACTACGGTCTGAAACTTTATAGTACCTACACTCGAGCCCCGATTACTCCGATCAGCCCATTACAGGATCATTTGAAACACGATTGGTGAAGGTTGAAAGCCCAAGGGTGTCATTCACACTTTGCTATCAGGTGAATGCTGGAGAGTCAAGTCAATGTCTCGTTTTGTTAACTTTTACTAGTTTAATTCCAACTTGAGTGCTCTTTTCTCACTTTCTTGCTATTTTTTGTCTGTGGTGGACGGATCAGTGCTGCTTCAGCAAGCTGCAGTTTGCTGACCTGTCAGATTTTGGCAAAGTTGTGCTGCAGTCACCTTAAAGAGCACTCCAGACGAATCTATACAGTGGGGTTCAAAATGTCAGACTACTCTGAAAATGAGATTCAAAATATAACCTGGAAATTTAGATTTTGAAAAAAATTTAAGCGCCCAAGAAAAAAAAATACTTTCAATTTCTAGGTCAGTAATCAAATAAGGAAATTTGTGACATTGTTCATGTGAGCTTCTTTGTGCTGAATACATTATATTATATTACATTATAGTCACGAAATAATTCAGATTTACGTCACAGGAATAAATCACATTTTAAACTATATTTAAATAGAATAATATTGTATGTATATAAATATGTAATAATATTTCACAATGTGGAGATGTATTTCACACGTTTTGGTGAGCAAAAGAAATTTCTTTGAAAGACATTGTATATCTACATATACAGGTATATCTACACAGGAAGGAAAGAAAGATGATGGAAAAACAGTGGTGTAGAGAATTTATGCACATCATGAACCACATATTTATTGAAAAATTGAGTAAAATTCCCTTTAAGTAAAATTAATTGTTACTGGGGTTCATACCTGAGGAGGACATAGTCAGTTCCGCTTCATCTCACTGTCTGCTCACTGCTTTGTGCCGCTGTATGCTTTCCTTTCCCCAAATGCAAAACTTTCATAAACTGTCATTGAATTTTACTTCACTCTGCTTTAGTTAATGCCTTTTCACACCACATCTGAAACTATAGAATAACACCTTATTTTCACAGCCATTTTTCACACTTAAATTATTCACACTAAAACCAATGCATTTAAATTGTTAAATGATAAATATTTCTTAAATTTCTTTTACAAAGAAACTATTGCAGTGTGATATTTCAGGGTTAGTGTGTTAATTTTATTTCTTTAAAAAGCCTTATGCATGTTTTTTTGCCATCCCAAAAATGTGAATATGCTGTGAACATGCAAGTCTGTTCATGCTACATGTGACGCATCACGCTTTAATTTCTCGACACCATTTGTGGATTCTCAGTGCATTGCCTTTTTTTGTTGCTTTTGTATGTGATGTTTGGGTATGCGCTTTGCATGTGCTTGCTGCTTGTTCACTCTCTCTTTCTGGCATATTTCCTCCTCTTGCTCAGGTATTGCAGGGAACCAGCATGCAGCAGCTACAGCAGGTGCAAGTTGCTCAATCACAGGCGACCCCTATCACGGTAAACACCTCCAACCCTTAAAAATGGCTCCTATTGCCCCAAAAAGGAGCTTTTTTAGGGCTTTTTGACATGACGATTGAGTAAGAACTGCATTTCAAAGCACAATTCAATAGTAAGAATTTCCCAGTTTGAGTTCTATATCACCTACTGTACATTAAACACATTGTATGATAATACAGCGCTACTGCCTGGTGGTTAGTTTATAGTTTATATCATGTAATAGGGTGGTGACGTCAAAACCCGGAAGACTAATTCCTCGAGATTTTCCTATGGGTTTTTATAATGGGGGGGTTTTCAATTTATGAGTAAAATAAGGTCTGTGATAAACAGAAATTGACGATGCTTGAATGTTTTGCACTATAGCGTAAACTGCACACACTCACATCCCAGACGTTTACATCTAGTGATTTATTAGAAACATGCTTTTTTTAATGAAATAACTTCAAAATTTGCGTTTTCGATATTGGTGTAATTTATGTTTATTGATTTGAGCTTACTGAAAGTGAAACTTCCAAGTGAAACCATTTAGCAATGAAAAAAATATATTATATATAAAAACATTACGGACATTAAGTGTTCAATCTTCAAGCATCTTTCCCTTTACTAAAAAACACTCTTGCTTTGAAGCCAGTAAAACTTTTTTTTTTTAAAGATATTAATACTTGTATTCAGCAAGGATGCATTAAAGGGGTGTTTTACTGCTTTTTGTCTTTGCATGATTATGTTTATGGGGTGCAATATAACATGTATTCGTAGTTTTTCTTTTTTTTAAAAGTCTTAAATTTCACCTTTTATTGTAAGCCGCGTTCTCCTCTGTCATTTAAACGACCGGTTGACTTCCTGAGTCTATGAAACCACTCCCTCAGAAACAGGCAATGGGCTTAGATTGGTTAGTTTGGGCCGGTGTGTTGTGATTGGCTACTGTGTAGTGCACGTTGTCCGGAAACTTCGCAGCCATTACCTTTACGTGTCGATACTGCAGTATCAGTATGAGCCAGAATCAGACCCAGAAAGTGGCGATGAATAGAGTCGAGCAGAACCTCCCCAAACACGGCTCTTACAAAACGTTTCTGAATGGTAAATTTTTTTTTTTAATTATTATTATTCTATTCTTCTATTATTATATAAGAATTTCGATGTGTTGTTTCGAAATTTCGAAAGAGAAGCCGATCTGGAATTCAAATCTGCAATTCATATGTCCTCTGTTTGATGTGACATGAGTTCACTGCACGTCTCCGGCCAGATGAAGTTGTGCTTCTCAGTAAATTGCTCTGGCCTATCAGGTGTCAGTTCCTGAAGAGGAGAGATCATCTGTCACAGCTCAGCAGTCAGCGCACAGGTTTCTCCGCTCGACGGTCACAGTCTTGCTTCTCTCCCCTTTCCTCAACACGTCTTCAGTTTCACTTTCTTTTGGAGGCCTTCCAAGCCCACAGGGTGTAATGCTAATGCTAGCACTTCTGTTCCAGCGTACATGCTGAAAGAGTCTTGTAAGGCACACGGCAGGATGAAACGCAACTTGTACGTGAGTTTAAAGCCGCAGTCCCCCCCCCTCATGGCTGTCCTCCTCAATCTTTCAGAGTGCTCCTGTGACCATGCAGGTGGGCGAGGGCCAGCAGGTGCAGATCGTGCAGGCGACCTCGCAGGGGCAGGCGCAGGCGCAGGCGGCACAGTCGGCGGGGCAGACCATGCAGGTCATGCAGCAGATCATCACCAACACAGGAGAGATCCAGCAGATTCCAGTAATAAACCTGTTTAGTTTGGGATTTTGAGGTTTTGATTATTAGTGGGGATTGTAGAGTAACCATTAGCTGGAGGTAATGATGTGTGCTCATCAGTGTCCTCTTGTGGTGTCCCGCAGGTGCAGCTCAACACCGGCCAGCTGCAGTATATTCGCTTGGCTCAGCCCGTCTCAGGAACACAGGTTGTTCAAGGACAAATACAGACACTTGCAACAAACGCTCAGCAGGTACAGCAAGAAACCTAGTCACATGCATACCTCAAAAATGGTTTACAATATTAACTGAAGTGGTCATAAAAAGTCATTGTTTTTGCTGTTTTGTGACACTAATGGGACAAGTTACACACTTCACCTTTAAGCAGTTGTGTATTTCACATAAAGATATTTCCTTCATTTGATGAATGCAATGAAATTGATGTGATTTTGTTCTTTAGATTACACAGACGGAAGTACAACAGGGTCAGCAACAGTTCAACCAGTTCACTGATGGGCAGGTAATGACTTTTTTTGATGATTTAAGGCTTTATATATACATTTATTTGATCGAAATACAGTTAAAAAAAAGTTATTTTCATTTGAATATTTAAAAAAATGCTATTTATTCCTGTGTTTAAAGCTGGATTTTGCTGCACAAGAAATATTTCTGATTTAATATCACAGTTTTTTTCCGTTTAATCGTTTTGTTGAAACAGTGCTACATTTTGCTGGATTCTTTGATAAATAGAAAGTTTAAAAGAACAGAATTTATTTGAAGTAGAAATCTTTTCTAATATAATTATAAATGCAATTTAATGATCAATTTAATGCATTTTTGAAGAATAAAAATATTAATTGCTTTTAAAGGAAAAGAGAATTTTTTTCCCCATTTCTAAAGCCACTCAGCATTTTCACTTGCCACAATTGACACCATGGGGGAAAACTGATATAAATATAAATATTTATTTGTATATATATATTTATTTATTTTATTTTTACATTTTTTATATTATCTCATATCTTGGCAGCAGATATATTAGGCTGACACAGACTTGACACACAGATCCGTTTTACTGTTATACATTTTCTTTCTCAACCGTTCACCTAAAACAACTGCCTGCGTTTATGTGAATACCAAAAATATTTTGATATTATTTTGTGTGTATTTGACTGTTTATGCACAACAAGCAGCAAAAATTAACTCAAGGTGGCTTTGTGCGCATACTTTAGTTGTGAGTTTATTGTTTCAGAAGCCTTTTTAAAAAACTACAAATGAAAAATGTATATTTTATATATAATTTCAACCCGGGAAAGTGGCTAGTAGGAATGACTGGCACACGCCACTGCTGAAATACACCCGGGTTGGCCGGTATTTATGTTAAGCCCTGCATATAATAAAAAATACAATATTCTATTATTATTCTGATATGTTCTGTATGTAATATATCCTTTATTTTGAGTCACCACAGTCCGAGTTCAGTAACATCCCTGTGTGTGTGTGTGGCTCTACAGCAGCTGTATCAGATCCAGCAGGTGACGATGCCGGCGGGACAGGAGTTGACCCAGCCCATGTTCATTCAGTCCACCAGCCAGACGACCGACGGCCAGGTCAACACACAGGTCAGCGCAGACTGAGGCCGTTCATCCCGACACCCCCAACCGGAGCTCAAACACACACCAACATCCTTCCACTTTCCTTCATCTCATGCCATTTTCTGATCAAGTTCTCCATTTAATTCAGCAGTCGAATAATAAACTTTAGATTTACGCTTCATAACTTACCGTCCAAATGACATGTTTTGTTAAAGTGTGGGTCTCTTTCATACAGAACTAATTAATGGAAGGATCAATGTGTAGTGGGAGAGATTTGCTTTCTGCCATTTGATTTTCAACTATGTCTTCTGAGATATGGTGAAAGTATGAACCCACTGTCTTCCTTTCAGTATGGGTAGAATATGTCCTTGTTTCATAGTTTAATGTGGATGTGGGTAGAGATTCAGTGATCGTGACATTAGAGTGAAGCTTGTGGAACTGGAGCAGGAGGGCACTTCTCAGCTGTGGGGGCATGTACAGTGGAAAATATCAAAAATACCTTTTTTGTTTGTGTTTTTAAGCCCTCATTCATTTTGACTGATCATGCCATCTCATGATGTGTAGAATTTGAAACTTGATGATAAAAAGCCATAATCTACACATTCTGTATCTCTGTAGTTTAACTATAGTAATTGTATTGGTTCAGTTGTAGTATCTTGTATAGTTTTGAAATTTGATAACATTGTATTTGTTAAAGGGCTTCTTATTGTTGGGTTTTCTACATGCGAATGGTCCTCTTCGTGTGAATGTGTGCTGGTAATTGATGTGCTTTCCTTGCGTTTGTTTCTGAAACCGATTTAAAGAGACTTCTTCTGCCCATTTCAATTGAACTGCTCCACTGTTACCTACTTTATAAAACAATTTAAGTAAATAAAAAAAAAAACTTTTATATAAACTGTTTTAATACCAGCTCTTTTTTTTATTGCTTTTTTTTCACATTATAATTGTTGGTCATGTTGTTTTGCATGTAGTTATGACTCCCAGCATGATATGCAATACCTACAGTAGGTGCAAATTTTATTTTTGTTGTTTTGTTTGTTTTGTAAACAGACCTTGGTTTGTGAGAAAATAAAAACTCCCAAAAAAGATTGAAATTGTGTGTGTGTTTTTTTCTCCCACAGTATATAGTTTAGTTTTATTATTACATTTTAAATATAGTCTAAGCACACTTGCTTCCTACACATGGTGTGCTTGTGTGAGATGTGTTTGACTCTTGCCTGTCATGTCCGAATTGCCAACCAAATAAAGGCATTAACTATTTAAAAAAAAATGTTTTATTGCGTTGTTGACTTTTGAGTACATTTATTTTTAACTGAGAACATTAGATTTACTTTGACGTCAGAGCTCGGTGAGGGAGAGTGATAGTGTTTATCTTCACCACACGGTGGCGTCATTCCAACCGGACGAGCTCAATCACTGAAGGCAGTGCGTTTGGGATCCGAACTCTGACTCATTAATCGAATCTTTCAAACGGTTCGTTTCATAGAACAACCTCTAAACACAGGTAAAGCCGATCTGTACAACCCAATGTGGCATATTACATGCACTAAACGCTCAAATAAAGCCTCATATTTGCAAATTTTCTTTATTTACGTTTTAATAATACATGTTTTACTGTCACTTGTCTCAGTTTGTTAATTGTTGCCATGAAAACATGTAAATACTTTGCAGTTGCATTAAACAATACATATTTAATATGTGTTTTATTTGCAGTTCTGCGAGTCAGATTTCGGCTCATTAGGAATCGGTTCATGTTCTGGAAAAGAATTGGTTACCACTTCGAATTCACTTCGGATCAGCAAAAATGTACTGCTTTAAACCTCTATTTTTTCTATTCAAATATGATCTAGCTATTCTAGACAGATACATGGAAATTATCCAAAGTTCTGTTCACCCCAAAGCAATGAAAACTATCTCTATTCATCCTTTATGTCCTCTTTAGGGTGAATGCACTGCGTTGTTTTAATGTTACCCTGGCAATTTATTTGTATATCTGTGTATATTCATTTTTGTTTTATTTTCCCCATATGTGTATATATTGCTTTAATGCTATGTCTAATGTTTGATTTTTATTTATTTATTTATTTATTTATTATTTTTACTTCAGATCATCAGATCGGATTTGCTGATCGGCTATAAACAATTCGCTGATGACGAATCTAACAGGATCTGTCATTAACGTGATGTGTCACAACATATCGTGCAAAATCAAATAAACAGACTTTATATTTTTCATATTTTTTGTTAATGGAAAATTGTGGAGGTTGAGTCACGGGTTTGTCAATGAGCTCTAAAGCTTTGTGAGCTCAGGCTCCATTCCTTATCCGGCATAAATCTTGAAAGGAAGGCGTGATTAGGACGGAACTGGGGGAGAAAAAGTTAAAAGATTAGAATTTCGAATGTTTATTCATCCCAAACTTTGAGCAATACCTAGGAACTCATCCTAAACGTTCAACTGGTTTTCCCTGAGATACAGCTGTTAGGCCATAATATTTTTATGAACACCCAGAACATTCAGATGGAAAAGGCTGGTTTTGCAATTCTTTAAGTTTATAGCACACAAACAAGCCTACACTTCCTGTTAGATCTGTCAGGCCTGAGTTTCACTTCTGGACATGCCTAATCGTCTTATGCGGTGAACAATTACTGCATTAATGAGTGAGGATTGGTCCTTATTTGCGATATGGGGCCTGGTGAATATCTGTAGCTAATCCTGGTATGACTTGGATTTATTAACTCTGTTTGTCTTGGCTGTTGAGTTTCTTCAGGTCAAGGAATCATCCAAAAGATTAGAAGAGACAGGTCATGAGAGTCCATGAGAGATTTGTTAATCTAACACCACCACCAAAATCATGTACAATGTAACTCATCTGATATAAGACATTGCAATGAGTATAACATGTTTTTTATTGTAGCCTGTGACCTTATGCCAGCCTATTGTTGTCATCAGGAAAGCACTTCTAGCTGTTAGCTTGGCACAGCCACAGTGTTGACGGTTTAGACGCCTCATCATTTCAAAGGGGAAACCCAGCGGATCAGGCTTCAGCTTTGGATGTGGTTCTAAATTCCTCACATGGCCCTCGGTTACTGATCTCAGATCTCCTACACTGATTTATTACTGCTGGACCCTGTGTAAAACATAAACTTTATTCAAATATTTTTTTTGTTCACTTATTTGTATAACACTTTTCACAAAACAGCTTTACAACAAGAAAAAATATATTTTTATAGGCAATGCACGCAAAAGTTATGTGAACCGAACCATCCACGTGGTATTACATATAATCTAGACTATGTATGACCAATAAATAATTGATTTAAAAATTCTATACAGTTGTGTTTAAATCATTTAAAAATAGAAAACTACAAATACATTTAGACATTAAAGCATATTTTACCGGGGAAAATCACAGGGGGACAATTTTAGATTATCTAAAGATTTAATTTGTTTCATTATTGGCGTTTTTAAGTGAGCGTTATGATGGCAAATGTAAAAATAAGGACATAAATATCTAATATTGAGAATGAGGAGTCACGTGCCTATTTGGGCGGGGTCTGAGCCGGTCGGCCATGATGGTAGGTGATGCTATCGGTTACCAGGGTTTTTATCGGTTTTTAACGCAGCAGTTACTTCCAGGCATGGTAAAAACAGTGCGGTATTGTAAGAAACTCCTCTACTACCGAGCTAAAAACACGCGTAATCAATACTGTTTTGTCGTGGGAATCCTACCAACAATATAGGAAAGGGGAGGGGCACTGTAAAATGACGTCAACTTCTCATTCTCAATAAACCATACTGATAAAATCGTGAAAATCAGCTGATAACTAGTATAATACTGATAAAAATGGTAAATAGTGTTTTCTTTCTCCATGTATGCACAAAACATTATGATGAGAGAAGTGTTAGTTTATGAGGAGCCTGCCTAGTATTTTTCGGTAAATTAAAGAGGACCTCTTATGCCCTTTTACAAAGACTTCTTGATCTTGTTTTTGGGCTCTACTAGGAATTCATGCTTAAAAGTTAAAATTAAAACTTTTTACTTCACATTAGCCGCGTTTCCACCACAATGAACTATTTGTCTCAGGAACTTTTTTTATCCACAAGTTTCCGAGGGGCGCTCCTGTAAAAAATAAAGTGGGTGAAACTTCCGGTGAGGCGGCGGAAATAGCATTCCAATGGTATTTTGTGTGTTAGTTAGCGAAGAGGCTAGCTGTTTTTCTGAGAATTATTTTACTATTTAAAGACGCAAATCTTTATGAGAGATGTCGTTACGGAGCTCAGGGACAACATGTGCTGTTCGCGGTTGTATGTATAACCGGACTAAACTAATTCAGTGGCTTAAACGTGATTGTTTTGAACATAAGCTGAAAACGAAATCAGAGTCATCCTGCCAGAGCCCGTCTCTGACCTGCCAACGACTGTAGTTTCCATCAACCTCCCAAAAGACGACGAATCTTCCTGTGTACATTCGTTTAAATTCTGAATATTCTATAAACTCTCTCAGCATGTGATTGGCTGTTCGCTACTGATGTTACACCTAAACTCAGGATCAAAGCCTGTGTTGACAGAATACCAAATGTGCCAGTTAATGTATTTAAGTAGCACATTCATTTATAATTTTGAATAAACTCCAAAGCACAATGACTAGTGTGTATTTTTTATTTAAATTGTTTGTCAGCTCGCACAACTGTCTGTCACCATGCCTTGATGAGTATTGATTATTAATAATGTTATTATAATACTTCCAAGTCTTAGTCTAAGCATGTCAAGTCACGCTTTGTTTACTTCGAACTGGAAGTCGCGCCCACTTTTGACGCAAGACCTCATGGGGCTTAGGAAACTTAGGATAGGACATTTTTTTTTGCCCCAGACCGGTTGCTTACTGCGTTTACACCGTGGACTAAAGTACCGGGAAGATTATGTAAATTAGTCTGGTGACGTTGGTTGAACTGCGTGCGATTGCTTCTCCCAGTCTGCGCGTTCGTTTTGAGTGGTTTTGAGTGCTTTTTAAGTTTTTAAGGTGGGGTATGTGATTTTCTTTTTTGACCATTTTTTCAAAATCCCTTGAAATCCTATTCATAACCCACTTACTGGCTGTAAATTATAAGCCCTGAAATAAAAAATTAAGCAATTTAATCACCTGTGGAACGGCCAGGACGTGAAAAACTCCAGTCAATAATTTTCAAGAACCATCTAGAATCATTGGACAGAAAATGCATCAATCAAACAGTCTAACCATGCCCCCCTCCTTCCACCCCCCTCGCGCGCGTCTCCCGTTCTACCAACAGATGCGGCTGTGGCATTTTTTCAGCTTGACAGGTGAGAAGCTGACTGACCAGTAGTATTTACTACGAATCAGGGAACTGTCTTTACTGACGATATGCGCTTGAGAATTGTATCTGTTCTAACGTTATAGCCCAGCTATATGTAGAACTATAGCTAAACAACCTGTTTGGGGAGGAAACTGATGTGAGCGATTGTATTTATGCATCTGAGTTTTTGCTCGTGCTTGATTGCGTGTCCATGTTTTTTGAATGAGTCAGGGCCAGCGTTGGAGGAGAGAGGACCTTATGAGTTGTGCACTTTCAAAATCTGCCGGCCTTTATGCAAATCACATACCCCAGGGGTAAGGGGTATGAGTATACCATCCTAAAGTTCCTAGTTCCTGGAGAAAGTTCCTGCGGTGGAAACGTGGCTATTGTTGCGGCCCAGTCTGTCAGTAACGCTCTGTTTAGTTCCTGTCTCTATGAAGCCCCTCCTTCTGAAAAGCACAACAAGCTCTGATTGGTCAGCTGGATCACTGCGCTGTGATTTGTCAACCGCTTCGAGCGTGTTTGGGAAATTGATCAAGGGAAAAAAATGGCGCTGGCAACAGATCGCATCTTGGCAGGTGCTGGGAGTGGGACTTCCCCGTTTCTCCAACTAGCCGGCCGTTTTCTTTGTTTAATCGCACTCTTGTCTGAGGCTGTTTTAATTTTTTTAAGCAGAGTTAAATATTTTATAAATGAGAAATTGGGACCTATGATTTTTAGTATGTTTTTTACACTACTCTTTTCCACCATTGCACTACCTGTACGTGTGGTGT